CTCCTGTCCTTGCTCCACTACAAAGCCCAACTGGTTTTTAGTATCTGGGAAAACGTCCCACCGATCCAGGGCCACAACAGAAGGCTCACACACAGGATTCAGAAAGCTGTCGTTCTTTGCATGTATCTCTGGCACAGGCACAGACAGCTCCAGGGCCCACAGCTCATCTAGAGCTGTTTCCACCCTTCTGCCCTGGGAAGGAAGGGCTGAATTGTCCCTGAGTGCGTTCTGCTGACCCAGCTCTTTAGGTATGTGCCCCTGCCCCTGACCATTTAAAGTGCTTGAAATTGATACACTCGAGATTCTGGGGTCAGTTCTCTGCTCCTTCTTCTCTTTTGCCAAATCGTACTCTAGGCCCTGTGCCTCCACAGACCTACACAGAAGCTCCACGCTGGAAGCTGGCACTGGAAACGCCTGGGAAGCGTTTCTAGAAGAGTCAGGCCTTCTGCTCAGCTGAACCAAGCTTGCAGAGCTTGGCAGAACTGCAGTGTAACCGCCTTCCTCAGCGCAGAGGACTGCTGAGGGGGCAGATGTTGGCACCGCCGAGTCCCCACTGTGACTTGCGGAGGGGTGTTTGGAATGGGACAGCACTGCTAAACTGTGAGGAGAGGTGCTGGAGTCTGCACGTGCTGAGCTGGGAACTGGTTCTAGGGAGGGTTCAGAAATCAGAGACATAGTGGAACTAGTCTGCAAAAAGGAGACAGAAAGAATAAGGAGAGAAAAAGATAAAGACAGAGGTAAGGAGAAGAAAAACAGCAAAGAATTAAGCATTGTAACAATCGTGACCTCCAAAATCCAAGAGCCATGTGGATCCAAAGCCTTACTTCCAAGAATAAGGAAGGGAAATGAGATATCAAAGAGGAGAACCAGTATGACATTGTGATGATCTTCACATGAGATTATGGGAAATTAAGCTCTACAGGCATCAAGGTCCTTTTCCTATGTCCTCCTTCTAAGTGATAGCTCATGTGTTCACCTGCAGCTGTGACAGGGACATGCAGCGGCCGCGGGGAAGCCAGCTACAAACCCAGGAATGTCTAGACTGCAAGTAAAGGTCACGTTAACTTACTCACAGCCAGCCATGTAAATTTTACATTTCAAAGCTAAAAAAAGCCATCAATGAATAGAACAAAGCATGACATTTTCTTCTTGATACACTAATAAAATGCTCCAGTTGGCTGAGTACATGGCAATGAAAACAAAGCTTCGGGGCATTCACAGCAAGAACAGATGACATGGCTTTGTTCTATTCACATCGCTAATCTCACCTTGGACGTGAAACATACTGAATCTATACGAGTCTGTCAGTCACTCCGTGCCCCTGTAAGCATCGCTTAGGTGGCTGGATTAGCCTCTTCCCCTTAGGCCAAAGACTCCACATTTACATTATAATAAAATCCGTATTAATTTTGATCCAAAATACACTCTTAACAAGAGCAACCTATACAGAGTTTTTGGATCTCTTTGACTTGCAGGGTCTCTTGAAAACAAAAGATCATGGGTCCTCCTCTTCCCATCCTGGCTAAACTCTAGGAGACAAATTGACGTTACTCCTTTTTATTAGAAAGAGAAAATTACAACAGTAGCTTGGACAATTTCACACAGCAGGTCCACCTAAGACCAATGCTGAGCCCTCTTAGTTTTAAAAACATATCCACAAAGGATTTCCAAATCCCAGAGCTATCAAGACCTGCTCTGATTCTTAGTCACATTTTCCAAAGAAGCCTCAAGAAGTCAGATGCTTACGCTCTAAGGCAGCAGAGCACATAACTTCCTAAGCCCATGCATGGCATTTCAGCCTCTACTTACCTTTCTGAGATAATAATGAATAAAAGGACAAAATTAACCAGAACATGCACAAAATCTGCCAGTAGATGGAAGAGACGTATACCTTCAGCTGGCCTACGCTGCTACCACCCCCAAGGGTCAGGAGCTGGCGCACACACGTTTGTGCAGTCGCAACAGCAGTGCTACAGATCATGCTCAGGAAGGACAGAACAATGGGGGACCACAATTCCTTACAGACTGCTCCTCCGCTCGAGTAGGACAACACCAGCCATGGTCACAGCAGAGACAAAGAGGAATAGTAAGTACCCTCTGTAGTTAAAATGAGTGAATTTCTCAGTATTGCACTCCCCCTGTATTTTGCCTAAGCTGGATGCACCTGTAAAAGTACCCTGGGTTTATGTTGTGGTTGGCACTTACTTTCCAGACCTCCTAAAATGACGTTGGTCGTTTTCAAGGCAAGACTAACATTTTGCTCAAAAGCAAGTATTTCCAGAATATGAAAAACATACTAGCTCCAAAACAAGAGCAATGGTTAAACACTGGACAGTAACAGAACAGTATAAATACAAGCACCTAGCTAGGCAGTAAGCAGGCATCGTGTTACACAGAAATGGCAGAGGTTGAGGAAACAAGTGCATCAAGTAACCTGAGTGCCCGCTGACTGACGAGCTAGATAACCAAAATCAAATGGATTCTGTAAGTAAAAAGAATGAGCAACTCATTAAAGCAAGCAAAAGATGATAAAAGGGTAATGTATCAGGCTGTAATAACACCTCTCACTCTGGGGTATGAGGGAAATGAAACATCAGTGCCTCCACTCTGCCCAACCTCATCTATTGCAACTTCTAGTTGTACCAACTACCAACTCCAACTAATTACACATTGCCCTTAGTTTTTCTGTTCTATTTCTTGCAACCACACACAGGTCTGGTACTCGAACGGTAGCCTTTCATCTTTCACCTTTGCAAAAAACTCTACTTCTGTCCCATCCTGCCACGGGTACAGACTAGAAATACATTTTTACAGACAAACTAACCCCCCTAGTTGGCACAAATAGAGAAGGTAACAACAAACACAAAGGACTGAATGGAAAATGAAGCAACTTGAAGGACAGGAGAAAGGAAAGTAACTGTTGAAAACAGTCAATGACTATTAACAAAAGGAAAATTATCACAGAAACCGTATTCTTTGTGCTTCAGGAAGAACATTAAGACACGGATGAGCTCAATGCCTCACAGAAATACTAATGCTGTGTTTATAAAGCCCAAATCTTAACATTTTAGTTTGCTCTAAGAGCTCAACCAGAAACTAAGCCGCTAGGAAGGCGGGCAGTATTACAGAAGCTAGTCTCTGGCACACAGGTTTCATTTCAGTTGCATAAAGATTCTAAGGCCTTTTCTCAAAAATGCAAAGCATTTGAACACCCACACTTAATGAACCCTCCTTGTACCTTGCAAGGAAAACCTGTGCTGGGCAGTTGCCAAGAGCTCACCTAGGAGCAAAGGTGGGTGGCAGCAACCACACCCGAGCTTGTTTTCTGAGCCCTGATAAAAGCAGCAGGGGCATGAGGCACAGCACTCAAGCTCCCACAGCACACGGAAGGAGCGAGGCAGCGTACGCCAGCAGCGCAGCTGGGAACGCTCTCCAGCTTCACAACAGCGCAGGTTTCCAACCAGACTGAACAGACCCTTGGGGATATCCTGCACTCTACCCTAGAAGCTAATATGGAGAAAAAAGGCAACACTAAGGTGTCAATATTTGCAATTGACTAAATACAAACTACAGTAAGTCTAGAGAAAACAGTGAGTAACTCCCAGATTCTCACAAAATGAAGTACACGTGCCAGAAACGGCAGACTGAATTCAATTCCAGCAAGCGCAAGGCAAGCCAAGTCCCACACAGCGTGCACGCCTACTGCTGGGTTCTGAACTCACGCTCTAGTCAGAACTCCGGGTACCGGAATGACCTCCATGAAACTCACAGCACACATCAAAAGTGCTCACAGGAATGGTGGCACAGAGAGAACAACAAACAGCAAAGCTGTCACTGAATGGCCTGTCCACCTCTTCTCACAAAACATTCCTCAGCTCTGGCTGCCCCCTCTAAAGTCATGGCAGGAGGAGACGGAGTTCAGCACAGACAGGAAACACCAAGCATCAGCAAAATCTTCCATATGAGGAACAACCAGAGAGTCAGGGACTTTCTTAGGATTAGAAAGCAGACTTCCATGTGTGTGTAAGAAAGGCAAACCCAACAATGACAACGAAGAGAATATATTAGATATTTGCTTTGTCCACCCTTCTCAGAACAAATTCAAGTGACTACTTCAGTAAGTCTATAAGCAAAGCAGCTGAAAGTAGAAAGAAGAGAAAATATCTTTAATCTTGCTACGATTACGGGTAAATGAAGTCTCAGTAAAATAAGCTCTACGGTTAATCATCTAATGCAAGAATGATAACATACCTATATAAATAGTTAGCTAAGTACATATGCCAAGTGCTTCACCTAACAAGATGACCACAGACAAGTTACTCCTGAGCTTATCCTATTATGGGATTTTTATGTGCTACTGGTGACTGAAGTAGCACTTCTTTTCCAATACAATAGCTCAATTTCCAAACAAGATTCTGAATAGTGTTTGCAATCCTCTGCCCCACAAGAAGCTCAGACTTTAATTCCATTTTGAGGTGAATAAGATATATTGTTTTAAGATGGAAACCTCTGAAGTCTCCAGCTGTCTGATGTAAAGGCTTCAAGTGCTCACACCATATGCCTGGAAGCTCCTCCTCTTGGAAAGCACATCAGGGTAAAAAAAACACTCCAGAGAGGAGGGGTCATCCCACAGGACAGAGGAGCCTGGTCTCTCTCAGTAAGCAGACTGGTGTCTCTTGCTCCCCTACTTCTTGTTAAGCTGTAGGACAGCAATATAATTCACCGTGTACTGAGCACTAACTAAGCTCATTATCTTTGGTAAACAAACTGACCCCAGAACTGCCTTACCCTGCCCGTGATGAGAATTTATAGCAGTAGAGACCACTTACAGCAGCACTCAGAAAGCACAAATACCACCACAGAAGTTTCTCAGAGCAAGTTTGAGAGGTTAAAGAGGGCATTCTGGAGACCAAACCAGGTCAGCAGATGTGTCTAACGAGCAAGAGAGTCTGGGGGTAGAGAGGGACAAGATGACGTACTAAGTTGTCATGACAGGGTACCTTAAAGTCAGAGAGAGATGCCATCAGCTCATCCAGTTCCCGTGTAGCTGAAGAAGCAGATATACGGGTCTGCTGCTGACTGGCAGTCACCCGCTGCGGGCTGCTCACCTCTCCTTGGCTCACAGTGATTGCAGGCCTGACAAGGGAAAAAAAAATTTTAAAAAAATTTAAAAAATGCATTTAAGCCTGGGGGAGCACTCCTCAACTGACAATTCCACTGCTCCCCCAAGCAAGCACAGCACGATGATTTTCATCAGCACTGCCCAGGCTGGCCAGCCCCAGTTTCCACAGCACACGCAGACTCTGTCTCTCTGCCAAGGCTAACATGAGTGTGTACACACACCGCCCCCGTCCATTAAGGAATGGACGATGACCAAGCATTCATTTTGTCAGACAGTGGGTATTTGTGATCACCTATAAACCTGAGCCTGAACAATCCACCTCTCATAACGTTACTTATGTATTTTTTCATTCAGAAGGAGATAAAAGAGCACCAGCATCTTCATGTGCCTGTTTGATTTATGACCCTTTAGACACAGCCCACCTTCTCTCCATTACTCTCCTGCAACTCTGTCCCTGCACTACAGCCACGATTCCCACAGGAGCCTGTCCCGCCACACCCAAGCCAGCAACCACCAAAACACTACTCACACTGGGCTTGGCACCGAGCTCTCCAGCTCATCCAGCAGGCTCTCCACACTGGGACGCACATCTTCAATCCCACGTGCGCCATTTCGCTTTGGCTTTTCTTTTGTAGGGGGTGCAGCCTTCCCTCCCACAGAGCCGCTGCTCTCTGGGACGACATAGTGAGGTCCAGTCACGCTGGGCAGTGATGGGCTTCTGCTGGTTTCATCTTAAAGGGGGGAGCAGAAGAGAGTCATTCAGACCCCTAGGTCCAAACATACATGCTAATCACAGACAAGAGCAAAAAATTGCCCAGAAACCTTGTGGAACATCCATCTTTGAGGATATTCAGAATTTAACAGCACAAGGGCCTGAACAACCGAATCTAACTTTGAAACTTTAGTTAGAGCCGATTTTGAAGTTGGCCCTGCTTTGAGCAGAGTGCTGCACCACAGACCTCGAGAGATCCCTTCCGTACTAAATGAATCTCTGGTCAGGGGCTGGAGGGGCCTCCCTCAGTAAGGAAGTTGGAAAGAAAAGGTAGGCTACTATTTCTACTATTTTGAGAATCAAACTGTCCACACATACCAGATGTCTTGCTATCCCTTACCTGCTGGGAAGCCACTGGTGGGATTATGTTGAACTGCATTCAGTTCCAGAAGAAGTCTGTCCAGTTCTGACAGGTTGTTGCCCAGAGAGGAACTGGTCATTGTGGGAGATGGTTCTGCAGACTTCTGCTTGTTCGGGAAACTAAAGATAAAAGGGAAGCGTGAAACTTCTACATCAAGATACAGCAGAAGATGGAAGGAAACTTACATTAGGGTCACAAAGTTTACACATGTACTGTATTCTTTTCCAGCTGATGCTTTCAGCTCTGGGGGAAAGAAGATGTGTGCTTTGTGAAATGACTACAACACTGCTTAGCCACTTCTTCAGCTGTCAGTTACAAAGAAATAGCATTGATGGACAGGGCCTCAAGTTTTAGGACTGTGTGCTGCACAGCCCTGTAGCCAAGAGTTAACCATCTGCCGATCCAAGGCCACAGAACAGCAGCAGAACCATTAGCATGCATACAGGAAAATGACCTGCTTCTGCTGACATCACAAAAAGCAGCAAAAACCTCCTCCTTGAAGCAAGAGAATGCAGGGCTAGCACAGACCGGAGAAAGAGGCAAAGTAAAAACCTCAAGCTATCAACAAAAAGTCAAAAGCAGCAGGCTATGTGGTAGCCTCTGCAGCACCCAAGGTGTCCTCAAACCTTTAATTTGGGGCACTCTAATCAATTTATAAGAAAGTAATTTGAAAATATTTTCTGCTGCGTTAAATACACAAGCCTTGAAAGAAGTTTACCTGTGCACAAGTGTGCATAAAATAAAGGCTGCAATTATTCCTCATCCTATACGGATGATCCCACCTACCACACACAACTGCAAACTGTTTCAAAGCAAAACTTAACACCAATGCACTGAGTTTTATAGTAATTACACTGTAATAACATTCTTCCCATTGTCAATAGCAGGGAAACTATTTTCTCCTCGTTTTACAAATGGAGAAATAACTTCTAAAGCTCATGAAGTTCCTATTTTATCAAAAAAGATACTTTCCAAAATGGGAACTTTTGTCTTGCGTACACTACCATATTATGCCCAGAAAGTTAATAAGTAACGGGCTTTAGGACTCTGATAAAACCAGTGACAATTATTAAATTTCATAAGGGCAGTTATTATCTTTCCCTTCAGACTGAAAAAAAAAAAAAATAAATCCACATATGCAATCTGCGGAGGACATACTTCTTCCCAACCCAAGCACAAGCCACAATTCACACCAGAACCAAGCCATGCAGACCTTGTACAGGAGGGCTCACAGCTGTAATTACCTCCATTTTGTTCTAATTGCATGCAGCCATCTACAAAAATTGCAATTACTGCCTCCACTGGGCATATCTCTGGATATGCCTGTCTCTACCCAGAATTAGTTCAGGTTGACAACAACCTGCTGCTCAGCAGAGACCTAGGCGTGGTTAGAACCAACGTCAGGGGAACACTAGTCTCCACACTGTAAGAAGGCAGCCAGGACAGGGTGCACTGCAGAGGGCTAGCAGAGATGAAGTCCTGACAGTCTCTTCCTCACGCATCCCCATGTCAGCAGAAATGTCTGTCCTGCTATACAGGCTACTCCTTCAGCCTCTCAGTGTAAGAGCAGCTGCCTTTGCGAGTATAAACTAGTCATCTATCATCTACTGAGATGAAAGTTTTAAGAAGTTAATTTACTTGAAAATTCAAGTCATTGTACAGCCTGCTAAGCCACAGGTAACTGAGTTTCCTGGGATAACCAGCCCAAAGGCCACCCACCTCCTAAAGAACTTCTGGGCTGCTTAAAGTGGATTTGCCACTTGTCTCTGGATTGTATCCTCCACAACACAGTCCAGACCCTGTTCTGTCTGATGGATCTTTAACCTTTTCTTCAGCTGAGCAAACCAAAGGGACAGGTCAATGTTTGAAGTGAGTATGAAAGTTACAGCAGGCATTTACAAAAGAGGTAATCAAAACTGACACAGGGCAACATAACACACAGAGGAACAGCGTGTGTTTCCACTTCTAGAAGGCAGCTTGAACCACAGCAGGCTCAAGTTGTGAGTCAGGCTTAACAGGGACAAGATACCTGTAGACGTGTTCCTCTTCACTGGCACGGGGAGAAGGAGAGCTGAGCCCGTCTCGAGGAACAGAGGCACTGGAGCTTTTGGCACTAGAGCTGTATATAGGAGACTGGGACTGAGGCTGTGGAAATGAGATTTGCAATGGAAACAGAGAATACAAAATTAATACATACACCACTGTACTGCAACCCCACACGTGGACAGTACAGAACAAAACCCAGCAGAAGAAAAAAATCTGCCATATAGCCAACCAGTCTCTATCAGATGAGCTACACCAGGAACAACTGTTCTCCACTTGCTTTGGATTTGCCTACGAGTCACAGATTTGAGCTGGAAACCCCCAGTCTGCTTTCCACAGGCTATAAAACAGATGACTAACACTGATCTCATCACACCACCATTTTGCTGGAACAATGACGATGGGTTTCAAATTCTCTTCTGCCATTTGTTCCTACCGGTTAGAGTTCTGTTAAAAACCCACACCTCCCCCCATTTCCCCACTCTGTTAATGGACAAACTCATCCTCACTTCCCGCTGCTCCCTCCCCTCATCTACTTCCTTGAGAGATACTGCACCAACAAAACAGGCATGCACCCTCCCCAAATGCACACATTCACTCACTTGCTGGTGGACGTATCTGGATACGTTGGGTTGCCACTGGTCTAAGGGGTCAATCACAGTGCCATTCAGGGCCTCACTGGAAGGTGGCGGGGGCACTGGAGGTGGCACGGCAATCTCCTGGTATGTGTGGTTCCCGGTTGGATAGGAGTAAGGTGTTTCCTCTGTTAGAAACACTGGTCGCTTGGAGATATGTGAGGTGGTAGATTCAAGGTCTGCCAGCAAGGCGTCTGCAGGAAAGCAAAAGAAAAAAAAATTAAAATGGTAAAATCCTGGACTACAGTTTTTTCCTCTTTTCTCCCATTCAGGATATCGGGTCTCTGGGAAGACTTTTCATCTAGGGTGATCTACTAAATGCCCTGAAAACCATTACTGCAGCCCAGGACTGAATAGGTTAGTCAAATTCCTAGTACAAAGAAAATGCCAAGAGGTAACAAAGCAGCCAGAAAAACTGTGCAAGTCTTAGATTTTTGTCTGAACTGGAAAACCACCCAACGACAGGGATCTGTAGCCTCTGCACGCTGCAGAAGAGCAACCTAGGAGAAACCTGCCCAGGAGAAACTCGCAACAGGATATTGACACAGACTAATTACAGGGCCCGCATCATCACAGAGTCATTTACTGTGGCCGCAAGCACTGCTTTCTGCAGGAAACAAGATCTTGGGAGTGGTTTTCTCCAGAGCCTAAGGTAGTAGAAGAAGCATGAAACTTTCAAATCTGTCCATCAGCACAGCAGAAATATGTGCTTCATTTTTCCTAACAAAAATCCCCCTCTGTACGTCACACAAACAGTTAACTAGTTTCCAGAGGCTGCCAGGTAAACGCCATTTCTTCTGCTGGAAACCATTCTCAACTTACTGGGTGGAGACTCCTCACAAATTCCTGAAGAGGAGAAAAACTCCCACCAGCTAGAAATACCCTGCACTCATGCCAGGCAGAGGAACCCAAGTCACACAGTTAGCACCTCTCAGAAACCTTAAAGCAGGAGAAATACATGAAAAGGCATTCTCACCCTTCCAGATTTCTTCCTGCAAACTATCCTCTGCTCATTCCCAACCCTGCACTCCTCCGCGGTGACTCACAGGCAAACCCCAGCTCGTTGGGCCTTCTGTCCTGTGAACCCACCCTGCGGAGCCCGCTGCAGTCCCCGGTGGGGGAAACTCCAGCAAGCGATTGCAGGTCTGCACGGTACTCACTTTGTAAAGAAAGCTTCTCTGGCGGGGTGCCCAGCTTTCCACGGGGGCAGCAGGCTCTCGCGCACACCTCTCTAAGGCTATTAGAGAGGAGCTGGTTCGCTAGGGACATCTGCGCTCTCCATTATAAGAGCATCAGGACATACCTGGCAGATCCCTTCAGAGATGTGGAATTCAGCCAGACACCAGTAACACAACCACAGCACAATTTGGAGAGAAGGCTCCCAGAAACCCCCGGATCTCCCTCCCCTCTGCACAGACCTGACCGTCTTCAGGCAGCCTCAATTAGCAGGATTTGTCCTTCTCCTCCTGCACACAGCAGTTACTGGACGCTCAGGTTTGGTTTGCGAGGGCTCAGCGTGAGCACAGGCATCCTGCAGTGTCCTCCAGCAGGGTCACAAGGACCTGAAGTTATCAGGTGGCACCAGAATAGCAACGGAGCAACTGCTGGCACTAATGGCTGCCTACCGGCTCCCGGAGGGCAGCACCTGCCAGCTCAAAACCACTTCCCAAAAACCAAAGCCACTTCCTGAGCAGCGCAGACCACAGCAGCCAATGCACTTAGCAACCCTTCAAGAAAATATATTAAAGGGTCAAATGGAGGACGATTTTATTGCATTACAAGACGAGGAAGGTGCTGCTTTTATATTCACTCTCTCCACAAACCAAAGCATCATAAAAGAACAGAAAAAGCAGTCTTGCCCTCAGAGAACAGAATAAAGCCATTAGCAAATTAAATACTGCATTAACTCTATACACCTTTCATTTAGTCAAAAAGATCCTCCGAAATTATTTAAGCCACAGGCATCTTCCTAGAGGGGCCAAAATACCCCAGAAGCGGATTCTCTGAAGGGATACAAGCTTTCTGCAGACAGGGAAAAATGAACTTAATCTTCTTTCTAAGCAGAAGAACAGCTGGCAGATTCCAGAGTGAAAGGCACATACCTCAAGGGAACTGCTGCAGAGCTGCACTTCCTTCCCCCAGGCAGGTCCTATGGCTGGTTTCCTGCACACCACCTCCAAGAGAAGTGCTGTCCCAGAAGGTGTGGTTTTTTGCTTCTCCCCACCAATGACAAAAGCAAACCAAACTCCACCAGGAAGTGAAAATCCCACGAGGATGCTGGGCTCCCCCAGCCCTGCAGAGGGGACCCAAACCATTTTTCCACCCTCCACCCCCAGCCCTCACCACAGGACAGGCAGATGTAACCCTCTCGCCACACATCCTCCTTCCTCCCTCAGCTCTGCACCCTGCTTAACGAGCCATCGGACAGAAATCCCCTGCTTTTTACTAAGGGCACAGAAGGGAGTTCAGCTGGATTCACTGCTTTACTCTTACAAGTCTGCAGAAGAAGAGGGGTGCGGAAATACCAGGAGCACTCTGACCCCAGGTTGTGAAGGAGTTAAGGAGAAGACATTACAGTTTAATGATTAACTTCCCCCAAAACCCTCCCCCTTCCTGACTTAAGCAAACAAGGCAGAGCTGAGGAACAGGAAGCGAGGGGAGGAGAAAAGGCTGGAGAGGAATCACTCAGTTACTCAAACTGCATTTCAACTTCACAACCGACACAGAAGCAGCTGCACGAAGGCACCATCCCACCAGCTGGGACAGGGAAAGGACCAAGCCAGGAGCAGGACAGGTGCTGACACACCAGCTCAGGGGTGGCAAAGGACCTCCCCTTGTGCTTGCTCACCCCCATCTTCTGCAAACCCAGGGTCCACCCTTCCTCACGCCCCAGTCACTCCCTCCAAGCTCAGGGCCGTGCCAGCAGGAAGGTCTTCCCCGTCCCGGTCCATCCCCGTTGCTGCTGCCAGCCACACATGCCAGCAGGAAGGTCGTCCCCGTCCCTGTCCATCCCCGTTGCTGCTGCCAGCCACACAAACTGCTCTCCAATCCAACCCTACCAGCAACCACAGTTCCGTGAAGTTTTGCTGGACTGGGGAGCTGTGCCCATTCAAAGGGTCCAGCACCAGTCCCCATGCAGCACCTCATCCCAAGACATCTCAAAGCACCGTGCATTCATTTCGGATTTGGGCAAGTTCTTAACTCTACTAGAAGACAATGTGAGATAAGAGGTGGGTGAAAAGAAGAAGGGGGATTTATTAATGGAAAAAAGATGCATGGCTCTCTGTCTTTCTTTCACAAAAGGGACCAGACAGCTGTAACCTGATAAACAGTAGCAAAGATGCTGTGCCTTCTGCAGCACCGCACCTCACGTCACAGCACTGAGTCCGCTACAGTGATTGCTCCTTAAATAGAAATATTAAAACCTTAAACAGAAATATTAAAGGTTCCATCAATTTATTGGGTAATGAAGTTCCTTCCCAAGGCGACTCCTGAGGGACAGTGCTGCAGGAGGTGTGAATCAACCAGTTAGTCCCTCCCAGCACGTAGGAAGCAGTTGACTGGATCACCCCCTGGTGCTGACGCAGACCAGTTCACATAACCACAAGCCGTCAGAGGGCACCACGACATCCTTACATGGGCAGAAAGACGAAACCCGACAGCGATGGCTAACTTGGCAGTAATTTCACCTCACTTGTTCGTCCCTGCAGAGTCGGGAACCTGTCCCTATTCAGCCACACAAACTTTTTGCCGGTGCCACGTGTGCTGCACCTCCCCACGGAGACACGCATCTTCACGCCAGCACACACTGCAGCGTCTCCAGGGCTACCGCCCAGTACTCTGGGAACAACCACACACGCTGACCTCGCCACCATTTTACTTACTGCTGCCCCAAACACTCTCTAAAATACTACAGACACAGCTCTAGGAGGCAGAATCTCCCAATGTTAAAAGATCAGAGACTCATTTATCTCTGGAGGATAGATTTAACCATTTTATAGCAATAAAGTAAAATAGACAGGGTTATACTAGATCTTCAAGCCATTGCTCCTCCACAGGATCAGCCCTCTTTCCACTCTCATCCCTACAAGCAGCTACTAACACAACCCACAGACAAAATGTCAACTCACAGACACGTAGACGGAGCGGAATCACACAGTCCAGTTACCAAAGAATCAGCAGGGCTCAGCCTATCCACAGGCACGGGCTGTGCATAGAAAAATTTCTATTTTCCACTCTATTAACAGCACGCTGCTCAGCAGGGTGTGGAAGAGTGAGGGATACTTGCTAAAACGCCACCAACCTAGACGCTCCTGCTTGTCATCCCTACACTGGTGCAGCCACACAGCTGATAAAGCACTCACTCACTGCCCGCTGCAGCACAGTGCATCTCAACGTGTACGTGCCAGGGTACTCCACAGCTCTGGTAACTCGGCCAAGCTCCTGGGAAAGCACATGCAGACGTGAGACAGAGGCACAGGACAGAGTCCCTCCTCCCTCCACTGGGCAACCCAAAAATTACAAGCTCAATTGAAATCACATTCAGGCCAGAGGGCTACTCAAACCACATCCTCCCCAGAACGGGAGGACATCTGTGTTCACATTCAATTGGTTTTACTCTGGAGGAGAGGAAGTTAAAGAACGATATCACGTTTGATACCTTTACTGCTATAATGCACTCCAAGACATCTGGAGGTCCAGGTGCGTTAGTTTGTCCTCTCTCCCTTCCCTCCCTTTTGCCAAAAATCATTATTAACTATGAGGTCCGTGGGATTCTGGTCTTCAAATCCCACACACAGCTCTGCTTATACATTAGATATCCATGAGCGGCCCTTAACACCAACCGCATTGCTTCAAGGTAGTTTGCAGCATCTGCCAAAGCCCTGCTAGTCATTTAGGCAGCTTGGGACAAGAACTCTCAAGCTGATGTCCAATGCATTGAACCAAAAAAAAAAAGAAAAAAAATCCCTTTTGCCAAGAAAATTATCAAGATGAGAGAGCAGGACAATACCTTAGGGTAAGTCCCATTTACCAATTCAAGCTGCACTGAAAAGAGTAATCATCTCCCAGGTTATATACTGCACATTCCTGTGCTTTCTCCCCGGCCATCACCTCTGTCAGGCCGAGGAACAGCTCACGCATTCCAGGGGCTCCGACGCAGGCTCCTTCCCCATCGCTGCGTGTCAGCACTCGCTGTCCTGCACATGCGGTATCCTCCAGCAGAAACGGCCTCGTGTGCAG